AAAATTTGCCAATTTTTGCAGCGGATTCTATATTACAGGATAGCGTGGACGAAACAAGGTAAATACTTGCACATGTCCCATAGATTCCCCATTTGCTGTAACCGCATAAATGGTGGGTTTTTCTAGTGTAACCGGATGCGCTTGTGTTTTGTTTGATCATAAGTTACCATGGCCCTAGGGGGGCGAACATAAGTTACCATGGCGCTAGGGGTGGCGAGGTGAATCGCATTAGAGTCTCATGAGTATGTCATTTGTGGTAGAAGGACGTCGCTCTGAACACGATGTCCTCACATACTCTCGAAGGACCTCACTACTTTGTCCCGGCACGAGAATGACGTGAAGTCTTTCGTCGACCTCGCGGGCGAAACCCCGAAACCAGATTATATGTACAATGATGCTGCAAGTGGGTAGGATGGTAACGCTTCATTGGTGCTGGGCGAGAATCCAACTAACGTTAGTAACTCCAATCGGACTGTAGGCGTACAATTCTCGCCTTTGTATAACCTGGAAGTGTCATTTACCGAGGGACTCCAGCCAGCATCATTATTGGGTGATGATGGCGAAGAATAATAACCACGTTTGATTGGGTAACGTTTTCTGGATAAAACCAATTTGAAGCGGACGATTTGCGAAATTCGCACTGCACAAGGTTGCAACCTATCTGGGTTCTAAATTTTAGGTTGCGGATAGAATAGAACTGGCGTTTGCGAAACCTGTATATTGTACAAGTGGGTTATACCTACAAATCACACGCAAAACACACATCGTTCATTGTGTAAAGGGACCAAATTTAGAGGTGCGGTGGAGATACTCTTAAGTTGTTTGTGAGGTGATTTGTCGCGTGATTTCCAACCAGACTCTGACAGTGAATAAATATTGGGCTTTGCAGGAAGATCGATATGCGGCGCGGTTTGTCCAGATCGATTCAACGAACCGAACTTACAATACAAAGAATCAATTGATTGATTTAGCACAAAAGTCCAGTTTTTGGGCAAAAGGACAATACTGTAGCCAATCAGCGACAAGTAATAATTTCGGATTGACCAATGGGAGCGATGGTTGGGTCCAGTTTGGCGTCGATATGTGAAAGGGGTCTCAAATTCATCCCAATAATTGGTTTTGATTTCCACGTAGGTTTCACGAAAACGCTTACGAGCACCAATCTCTCCCATTGGTCAATCTGAAATTACTTGTCGCTGATTGGCTACAATCCATTTTCGAGTTTCTACTGGAAAGGGCGAAGTGGATAATGGCCAATCAGATATCTCGGCTCTATTTGTGCTCGATTGCACGAACAATGCAAAATTGGGAAATTTGAAGAAAATCGGCAATACTGTTAATAGTTCACTTTAAATGACGAAATCATCTTGCCTGGGACATTCTCGCTCCTTCTTCCGATCGTTGTGGGTTGCTACCTGAACCAACACTACAACTGCGTCAGGTCACGTCTGCATGCCGAATGGATTCATGCACCCGTCATGTATGTAGTAAGTAGTGCATGCCAGGACAGCTGATCTCATCGCACTGAGTTTCCTCCGACGCTCCTTTGATAAAACATTACCATCCTGCAATATGATTGGCTAAAAGTGGAGACCAGATGGGCATAACACAATTAATCTCCTTCCTTCATCTGTCCAACATGGCATCGCTGCGCATCCGCCGCCTCGATGCAGACACCAATACGACCTTCTTCTATGTGTCCATCACGATCATGTTCGTGTCATGCGGACTGTACAACTTCTGCTTCAAGCGGAGGATGCAGGCCCAATTGCTCGCGCAACAGCAAGCAGGTCTGGAACAGGTGTACCGACAGGACGTGATTGCAAGCGACCAAGGCATGGAGAATCTCTGGGCGTGCGACGTGTGCGACTTTAAGAACTACGACGGACACAAGACGTGTATCCTCTGCGGTACGGAGCGCGACTTCACGTTGTACGGGAAGGCGTCGTCCAAACGAAGTTCTGGGAACGACGACGGCGCCAAGACGGTTATGCCGCCGTCGCTGTCCCCGACCAACTTTGTGCTCATGAACGACTCGACGCCCCGCACGATCAAGAAGAATCGCAACTTTGCAAAACTCCGTCTGAACAACTTGAACATTCGACAGAAAGGCGCGCGGCGGCGCCACGACTGGGTACGCAACGTGGACGAGGCGAGCGGGGACATTGTGTGGGGTCGGAACCGCGACGTGTTGGACCACAAGGTTCTGAAGCGCATCGTGGCCAAGGACACGCGAGGGCATCCCCATCTTCCGAACGACGACGGGGACTTTGACCTGCCCATGCTGCGGGACTCGGTGTCGAGCGTGAGTTCCGCGGGCAGCGTCGCGAGTGTGGGGTACGTGAGCAAGTTGGTGCTGACCCCCAAGCACCCCGAAGGGCGCATGTCGTTCGAGACGGCGGAGGGGCAGACGGCGTTCCAGACGGTGAACCCGACGGTGTTTTCGTCGGCGGACCTCAAGGACGTGTCCCAGCTCACGTTCCAGCAAAAGCACGCGTGGTTCGTCCAGTACACGTCGACGATGGAGGTGCCGTGGGAGTACGGCCACATGCTGCTCGAGATCGACCGCAGCAACTTGCTGCACAACTCGTGCGAGCAGCTGCTGTGGGCGTCGCACGACCAGCTGCACCAGTCTTTGCGCATCAAGTTTCTCAACGAGCCAGGCGTCGACGCCGGCGGGCTCGAGCGCGAATGGTTCACGCTCATGACGGAGGAGATCTTTGACGAGCGCACGGGGCTCTTCCACGCGGGCATGGACAACGCGTATATGATTCGCCCCACGTCCAGCGACGCGTCGGAGGACCACCTCATGGTATGCTCCATGTATGTATGATATAAAGTAATCGGAAACAACTTGGCAGTACTTTCAAGCGATCGGGCGGTTTGTGGGCCGGGGGCTGTTTGAAGGGATGCTGCTGGACGCGCACCTGGCGCTGCCTCTGTACAAGCACATCTTGGGGACGCCCATCACGTTCTCCGACTTGGAGTTTGTCGACGTGGAGCTGTACAACAACCTGCGGTGGCTCAAGCAAAACAAGGGCGTCGAGTCACTCTGCCTGGACTTTAGGTTCGAATCTATACACTGATAGATGGGATTGCTTTGACGATGTCATTGGGGTCTAGTGTGAACGTGGCGCAGGTGGACAAGGAGCCGCTCACGATCGACCTGTGCCCGAACGGCCGACACATTGCCGTCACGGACGACAACAAGGACGAGTACGTGTACCTGCGCTTCAAGTGGATCATGCTCACGAGCATCTCGCCGCAACTGGCGTCGCTGATCAAGGGCATCTACAGCGTCATTCCCCTCGAGATGCTGTCTGTGTTTGACCACCAAGAGCTGGAGCTGCTCATGTGCGGCATCCCTGACGTGAACGTGGACGACTGGAAGGCGCACACGACGTACATTGGCAACGACTGCGACCCCCAAGTGATCGAGTGGTTCTGGGACGTTGTCACAGACTTTACCACCGAGCAGCGCGCGCGGCTGCTGCAGTTCACGACCGGGTCGGCCCGAGTGCCGGTGCAGGGCTTCAAGACGCTCACCATGAACGACGGCCGCATCTGCCTCTTTGCGATCCAGGGCATCCGCAAGGAAGAGTGCTTGTACCCGCGGGCCCACACGTGCTTTAACCGCCTCGACCTGCCCATGTACTCGTCGAAAAAGGACCTGGAAACGGCGCTCACGATGGTCATCAAAATGGAAGTCACGGGGTTCACAATCGAGTAAAAACAACTAGTGTACTAGTACATAACGACTTTTCTGCGAGGACCAAGCACTTGGACGTTGAAATTTGACGGATACCCAGTTCTGTGTGACCACATTGACATGGGCTTACTGGCGTCTCTTTCATGAACATGATGCTCATGAGGATGGATGAGGACTGGTACCGCGAATGCCGAGGCACTTGCACGTTTCGTACACACGACCAATTGAGCGAAGCGTGAACTTCATGTGCAGAAACTTGAATGCGCACAGACGCGGCGCTTGGAGAGCTGCGACAGGAGGTTGTCCAAGTACGAACACAAGTTAGTCTGGAACGTCCAGGCTTCGACGAACAGCGCCATGTACAGCGCAACAAGCATGGTAGAAGCATGGACCCGTAGAATTTGTTGGGGTGCACGGGAACGACCCTAGGTACATGGTAGCGGAAGTCGTTCATGCACAGCCCTCCCATCACCACTCGCGCGATGATACAGCTTGGCGTCCCGGACACCACGGAAGTGTTAAAATAGTGGCCGTACCGGTCACGTCCTTGGTTGAAAATCACTTTCCCATGGCATCATGCTAGAGTAAGTCCCGCCCAAGGGATGGATGGTGAATGGAGGACGTCAAGCTAGCCACGGATTCCTGACCGCAAACCTTGGTGACTATGGCCATACTAAACTTACATGGCGGCACATTCCACATTGAAGCGATTCGATTGTAGCTGAGGGGAAGTTAGAGGATCACACGTTGCTGCGAGGGGCTTTGGGGGGGGTTGGAGGACATTTTGTGCCGCTGGGCAGCTCAATGCATTCCGATGCATTGAGGCTCAAACAGAGCTCGTTTTTGTGATCACCTTCTCGTGCACCGGTCTAGGCCAGATGCAAAGTTGCCGTGGACGTGATCATTACCACGAAAGCGCCTTTTTGAAGTTCTCTAAGTTAACAACAGCGTACTACCACACGTCATGCTCACAACGAAAACCCTTCCGTCGAATGCACACACGCTCATCTGTGTTCACCAAGCTGCATTACGAGGGGATAACGGGCCGAGGACGTGGAATATCCAGGGGGTGTCAGGGGAGCTACTGTAACTGTACGCCTCGAGGATACAGTACACTCGTGCACCTTCCTTGGCGGACCGCATGCTTGTATAGTACTTCGAAGTAAGTAACTTACTACGGTAGTATTCGGGATTCGGGGAAACCCCGAAAGTTACCGAATGTGACAGGCACCGGATATCCGGATAATACGTTCGTTGGGCAGTTTGGGCAGTATCCGGATAATAAGCAAGAATGGCGAGCGCCATCGCCAGTGCCGCGAGCGAGATGGATGGCCACGACAAGGAAACGGAGTACGAAGCAAAGATGGTGAAGAAGACCGTTCTGGCACGCGAACGACGAAAGATGCGAAGGAAGGAACTACTGGGCTCCATGACGGCAGGTACACAGCACGATCGTCGACGTGGCACCAGATTTCACCAACGTTAACGCCTGTGTGCGTATGTATGTAGACGAGCGCAAGGCCTTCGTGAAAAATGAGGCGCGGACTGAGCAAGAGCGTGCGCAACGTTTGGCCGTGGCGTCTGAAACTGGCCAGCGTGTCGCGATCGACTGTGGATACGACGGCATCATGAGCGACAAGGTTCGTCGACATCTGTGGCACCATCCAACCCGACGAGTTTTGTAGGAAGTGAGCAGTTTGTCCAAACAGATCAAGTTTTGCTACGGCACGATCCGGCGCATGGACGATCCATTCGCCCTGACCGTGACCGATTGCACAGACGGGTCGCGCATTGCGTCGGCGTTGCAGCGCTTCAGTGCCGACAAGTGGAGCATCCAGTTGCAACCTGCGAGTGTGTCCAGTCTATTTCCTGCGACCGTATGGCCGACCTCCACACGAATAGAACGTCCATGCTGACCTTTGTTTCCTGTAGGATCTGGTGTTCCTCACGCCAGACTCGCCGAATCTCTTGTCCACGCTAGATCGGTCCAAAGTCTATGTGATTGGTAGCAGCGCCATCCCACCAGTGTTGTCTATGTGTGATGTTCCATTACGTTAGGTGGCATTGTCGATAGAAGTCGCGTCAAAGTAAGCTGAACCATGCACTTGCGTCGTGTGCCAACCAATATGGGGATATGTAGGGGCGCTCCCTACAAGCCGCCACGGCGCTAGGCGTCGAAACGGCGCGCCTTCCGATCCAGGAATTCGTCCCCGATCGCCACACAGATCACATTTTGAACGTCAACACCGTCGTGGAAGTACGATTGAGAACCACAACAACCAGATTGCCGTCCTTGGTTCAAATGATATGTAGATTTTGGCGTCGATTCAAGCTGGCAACGACTGGCCCACGACCCTCGCCGAGTGTCTGCCCAAGGTACTGAAAAACTATCCAACCAAAGGGGGGCTCGGATGGAAATGTGTTTGTAGCGAAAACAAGCCAGTGTGAGCCGTCGGGTGCTGAAACGACAAGCGAAAGAGATTGCGTCCGAAGCACCGAACGACGGAGGACAAGCCGACGAGAATGAGATCAACTCGAGTCGTCTTCCATTAGACTCGGCCAAGGATATGCATAATACAGGGGTGTGTTAAGGCCCCCAGAATGCCAGGACTTGGTCGACTGTTTCTTGTTCTTTGAATGGCGTGAGGCCGAGTTGGTCGTCGTAGCCGTAGATGGCCGTGGAAGGGCGACTGTTGTACTTGGAGTACATGGACACTGTGTACCCGCCCGTGTCGTGGATGACAATGTAGTCGCCGGCGTGGATTTGAGGCAGGAGCACTTGCTTGGCCAAGAAGTCCCCTGAAAAGCACAGCGGCCCCGCAATGTCTTGGCGGACGAGCGGTCTACATCACATGGTTGTGTTGTCACCCCCAATCATCATCCTGCTATATATAGTCACTCGTTCTAAAGTACCCCGATTTCAACGCCCCCGTCGCGTCAAACACGGAAAACACATGGGGCCACTGGTGCGGCAGGTAGGCCGTGCGCAGGAACTGGTTGGCGCCCACATGCACCACGGCGATGTTCTGGCCGTCCCATCGCTTGACGCTTTCGACCTTGGTGAGCGTGATCCCTGCCTTGACAAACACAGACCGCCCAAACTCGGTCACGACGGACAGCGCCGACGAAAACACGGCGGGCACGTGGGCGCGCAGTTGGACGGCATATGCTTCGTACGTTAGGTCGGACACGCCGTCGTACACGGTTGGCAGGCCGCCCCCGATGTCCACCACGCGGACCTGGTCACGGCCGACATGGGTATTGACCAACGCGGCAAACTCCACGGCCCGCTTGGCGCCGGCCACGAGGAGGTCCAACGCACACCCTTGGGACCCGACGTGGACGTGCACGCCTTGGAGCCACGGATGCGCCTACTCCTCATCATACTCGTGACGACGAGAAGGACGAGGAGGATGTGTTTGTTACGTGGAAAAGGGCGACGAGGGTGGCTTGCGTGTCGGGGGTCCACGGCAGGCCAAACTTGCTGGAGCTTGTGGCCGTGCTTGTGGACGCGATGGAACCGCCGCCCACGACGGGGTTGATGCGAAGGCCGATTTGGCGGTCGTGGAGGAGCCTGTCGGCCGGAACGCCCGACGGTCCGTACAAGTCGATGAAAACGCGCGCCACTTTGTCGATTTCGTCCTCGTTGTCGAGGTTGATGTAGCAGCCCAGCTGCAGTGCAGTTTTGAGCTCGTCGTACGTTTTGCAGGGCGAGTCATAGACCACCGACCGAGGGGCAAAGTTGAGGCTCAGTGCGTGGTGAACCTCGGCGAACGAGGCGCACTCGGCCCCAAAGCCCATCTCTTGCACGATTCTAAGGAGGAATGAGAATTACAACGAGATGAAGGAGGAAACCTCAGCACGCTGCGGATGGGATTGGCCTTGACCGCAATCGCGTGGTTGAAGTGGGCGCCGGGGAAGGCGGCATGGAGCGACTCCAAGCGCGCTTTGAGTTTAGACGTGGAGATGAGATCCACTGCGTTGATATCACCCAGCGACGAAATAGTATGTTTGACGATGTCCTGGACACTAGAGCCTCGCACGTAATGCTGGGTTTCGACTACATGCAGGGATTTGCTGTCCTCGCGTAGCGATTCAATCTCAGTCCTAGCCAAGTCGTCGTAGTTCAGCGCACAAAGATGATAGATGTTCCGTACGATGGGTGATTTGACAGACGCATGACAAGGAGGTCCTACGCATATGGTGTGAAGGGACACTCATTTCTCATTGCACTTCACTTACGAGAAGCGACGCTTGAACGACTTCGGTTGGATCCCACGCCAATTCCTGGCATATCTAGAGAGAATATGCTAAACATGGCGGAAGACTAGCATGCTATTGAGTGCCTACGTCTAAAGCGGCCTCCACCGCGGACTTGGAGGTGGTCTTGTACTGCGTGACATCGAGCGCTTGGACTTTCTCCATGAGGTCCACCCGGAAAATGCAAGATTGCGCACTGATGTGGCTCGTGTTTGAACCCATCCTATCTGATTGGCCGAGGTTGTCCAATCACAATCATTTCCAATTTCACATCATGCGAAGGCCTTCAGGCGCTGCGGCCTTCTTCGGAACGATCGTGGTCGGTGCTGCTGGCGTGATCTATTATGTCCATGACTTGCAAAAGCGCGAGAAGAAGGTAGGCATTCGTCGCCCCTCATGCCGTTATGCTGATCTGCTTGGCTTAGGAAATGCGAGCAGGTGTCATCCGAGATATCAAGCGAGACCGGCTGCGTCAACAAGAGCATAACAAAGCGGCTTAACCCAATACTACTTGAATCAAACTAGTCGTCCTCTTCATAACTTAAGCGCCCTGTTCTTATACGAACGTCGTCCTTTCCACATACCTCCCCGTCATGACGAGATCCAGCAACCACACTTGACACCTGCTCGAAACGTCCGCGTCGTCAGCCCCAGACAGCTTGAGTTGGCTTGCTTTTGCGTGAACCAGTATCTTCTTGACGTCTGCGACCATGGACACGGACCCAGACACAAAGACAGAGCCTTGGTGGTCATCCAGGTCGGTCAATATGGCACTGGCCTCGGCTTCCACCGCATCCTGTATGTAGCGATGGGGGGCGTCGGCGTCTGGCACGACTTTGTCCGACGAACACGCCAGCACAACCCGCAGGTCAAACGAGGCCTGCCAAAACTTGACTTCGTTCTGGTACGGCACACACGTCTTGGTGAGGCATCCGTACAACAGCACATGCTTCGACCGAACTTTAGTGTCAACGGGGGTCGCACATCGGTCTTCCATGAGCGCTCGAACCAGCGCGAAGCCGGCGCCCGTGGCGATGAATGTGACGGGAGAGGGACCTAGCGTTCGCCACGGGATGTCGGCTGGCGGCACGAGCTCACTCCGCACCCTTGGAACGTGGATCGGATCCAGCACGGACGACGGTTTCTTGCGGCGCATGACGTCCAGTTCCATGAAGCAAGCGCCTAACATGCCGTCCGACCGCTGGGGGTTCTGGAAGGACGTGGTCGCAGGGGGTACATCCAGACAAATATGAATGTTGGTCGGGTTGACCAAGTTGGACGACGCGATCGTAAACTCCCTCGGCTGCATGCGCGGAGCTGTATGCAGAAACGCATCCAAGGACATTCGCACCGATGGGAACTGCCGCAACACGCCAGCCAACGTCAACTACAGGGCTAGGTCAGGAGAAGCTCTGGAGGTGACGACGAACGTACCCCCGAGAGAGACGCGTGGAAGGCGGCGGGGTCTGCGGCGAGGCTTTCGAGTGTGGCGGCTTCGTTGGCATCGGTGGCGTAACAGGCCAACGTTTTCACAAACGCTGGCGGTACCTAGTGTGATTCACCCGTCAGTCAAATAATCATCATGTTGTACTGTACGGAAATGAGTTCGTAGTATTGTCGTAAGACCGTGACAAGGCGCGTGGGGGAGGGAAACGGGTCTTGGAAGTACTCGCACGGAGGAGTCAAAGGAATGGGCTGGATCCAGCGATCTTCCGTCTGTCCAAGCGAAAACCCAAGGCGTGTGGCCACGGCCGTTACCAACACAGCAGGGTTCAATGGATAGATGCGAATGCGGTCGCCCGTGGTGTAGATGAACGGGGGGACGAACATGGCTAGATCCACGTGGAGCATCGCGGGCTTGGGTTCAGACACAACATAGACCACGTCGTTCAGAACCAAGTTGGGCTGGATGAAGAACTTGGTCGCGTCCGGCATGGGGACAAACGTGTCGAGGTGCCGGTTTCGCCGGTCGGGGGCGCGGGGTTCTACCACGTCGATGATAACGAAGCGATGGGGGACGCTGGGCGGGAGGATCACCGAGTTGGTGTGCTTGGCCGAAGCAGCCGAGTGGGTGGCGGAGAGGCCGATGGCTTGGAAGATATCTGCTTCCCAAGACGTGAAGACTTGTTCTAGACCGGCATGACAGTCGCCGAGGCAACATGGCATGAGCCTCGTGCCTCCAAACTCTTCGAGTTTCGAATCGACAAACGTGCCAAATTCGTTGAAGTTGATGCCGTACTTCGTGTCGCCGGATGCAAACACCGCGTACCGAAGACTCCGAAGCCGTCGACCCTTCTTGAACGACCGGGTGTCCTTTTGGTTCTGGAGCCAAAAGTAGAAATGGGCGGCGTTGTCGGTGGCGCCACCGCCAGAATACGTGGCCACGATGAAAATTGCCAGTGATTCGTTGTTCAACTCGTCAGGGTCGAAGTGGTACAGATCCTTGACCTTGGAACGCATGCCGCAACGGATGGCGGCGTGCTGAAGTCTGTTGGCAAGCGCTTCTGTACGACCTGTTTGAGATCCAAAGTAGATTGTCATGGGAAGGAGGAACGCTGGGTCTTCCTTGAAGCTTCGCGAGGAAATCATGCTTTGAGGTCCCGACAGCACATGCGTCCATGTTCGCTTCTCCGATTGTGACATCGAGGTTGGCCTTACTGTCGCCGACGACTTGCCTCGCAGCAGGTTGAGCATGGTGTTTCTTGTCTGCTTGCTAAAAATATCAACCTCGCAACACACAGTTACAAAACCGTTACGTCTGCTGGAATTAAATTAATGTTAAAATTTAGCTCCAATGGACTACTGTATGTATTGTCGATAAATTATTATAAATACGACTGTTTTTTTATCCAACTTTACAAGTCGTCATCGACTGTCAAGGCAAGTCACGATGGGTGGAGTCGCAGGATCCTTGTTCATGCTGTGGGTGCGCAGTGGCTTCTCGTCTGCTACGGTCGCATCAGCCCTGACTTTCTTCCCACCATCACCGACGTACAGTCTCGTGAAGAATGCCGACGGAACCACCTCTGCCGTTCATATCATTGACGCAAATATTCCATTTGCATCCGCGATGACCGTGGCGGTCGTTCGAACAAAGCTTGGCCAGGACATTCCTTGTACGTTCCCATTCTCCGTTCCTTCCTTGTCGTTGTGCTTAGCCTCTCGTGTATCCAGGCTTTGTCTGTCGACACCCCGACGCCAAATTCACGATCATCTACAGCCATGGCAACGCAACAGACTGTGGGGCCATGTACCTACGATACATCTCGCTTTCTCGAGTAACCACACGATTCAAATGTCCATGCGAATGATCCATACATTGACGTACCACGAAGGAGTTAAAGGTGAACGTGGTTGGTTACGACTACTCTGGCTATGGCGGCGCAACTGGCACCCCGTCCGAAGCCAACACGTACGCCGACATTATCGCCGTCTACGACCACGTCTTGGCTCACGTCTGCCCTTCGCCTCAACAAGTCATATTGTACGGCCAAAGCGGTAGGGCAGAACCACGTAATAACGTCATGGGGCTTACGACATGTCTACTCTGTAGTTGGCAGTGGCCCCAGCATCTACTTGGCAGCAGAGCGTCCCGTTCGAGGGTTGATTGTGCATAGCGGGCTTCTCAGTGGCATGCGCGTGCTCACTCCCAAGTATTCCCCGTTCTACTGATTCCAAGAATCACCTTGTTTGTAGCCGATGCTTGGCATGCCTGGACGTGTACCCGAACGTCGATCGCATTCAACACGTGCGTTGCCGTACTCTCATCATCCACGGCGTCGAGGATATGGAGATCCCCATCTCCCACGGCCACGGCCTGCTTCAGGCGCTGCCTGTGGAGTGTCAAGCGGTGCCGTACTGGGTCCCCGACAGAGGCCACAACGACATTGGCGAGACCGCCGCCTGCCGCCCCGCGTACGTCGAGCACGTAGCCGCGTACCTCGAGACTCTTTAATACCTAACAAACGACGTCACACACACAAACGACGTCACACGCCGCTCTTTTTAAGTTATTAACATCGCTCCGAATCGGACGAGAACCGTTCCGTGAACGGATTCGCAAACTCCACGCTGCATGTCGACTCGAAGCTGTGGCGGTCCACTCTTGTGCTTTCGTCACCGGCCCCCGAATCGTCGTCACCTTTTTCGTCGTCACCAAACTCGTCACCGAGCGCGCGGTGACGAACCAGCAACTCGAGCTCGGCCAGCCGCGTCATCGTCTGCGTGAGCAGCAGCATGGCTTGGTTGTGCTGTCGTTCTTGCTCCAACACGCGAGATTCGAGCACGCCATTCCGCGACTCCAACCCCTTGACCAGTTGCAAGAGGTGCCGGTCGTCCACGTCGGCGCTGCAGATGCTCGTGTCCGAGCTCGACATGGTCGGCCGTTCACCAGACGACCGCGGGCTCGACGGACCTGGCGCCTGGGGCACCTGCGACGCAAACCCGCAAACCACATGCTCGTCCTGATTGTCGGCGCATTTAGGGTGTATATCGTGCGACAGCTTGGCCGACCGCGATGCTGGCGCTGTCGGCGGTGGCGGCGGCACCTGTTTAAGCGACGAACTCTTGGCCGCGAGACGGGAATGGATCAGACACTCAGCACAGACGCGTTGCTTGCGGTCTCCGTGGGGAGTCAGCGTGCGCCCGGCGACGTGCGCTTTGCACAGAGGAAGGCGGCACATGCCGCACATGTAGCGTTTGCGGAACATGGAGAACGACTTCTCGCACACCCCGCAGGAGTCGCCCGTGGACGCGTGGCGATAAGATGCCGTCGCGCTGTCGTCGTCGTCGTCGTCACACTCTTGGATAATCGTCGACGGGTCGTCTTCGTTGGCACCGCCGGGGACGAGGGGAGTGTCGTCGCCAAAGGACGGCTCGAAGCGCGTCGAGAAGAGCATGCTGTCGCGCAGACTCTCGCGCATGACCTGGGACTGCCGATACAAGTCGCGCATCGTGGCTTCGTACGCGGGGTCGTTCCGGGCATCGGCGTCGTCTTTGTCCCCCGCATCGGGGTGCGCGAACCGGTACTTCTCCTCCGCTTTCTGAAGCACGCGGATGGAATCATGGTCAAGTCCGCTCATGGTCGCCATCGCCAACGCGCGCAGGCCGTCCGGCATCTTGACCCAAATGCTGTCTGGGCACATGGAGCACAACATGCTCAGCACGTCCGCACGGGCATTCGCGCGGATAGCAACGTGCAGAGGCAAGAGTTGGGAATTGTTGCGCGTCATGCCACCCTCGGGAAACGCGCCAAGCAGGGCCCGGATCGCGTCCAGCGAGATGTCGTGTTCAGTGCACGCCCAGTGAAGTGGAAGCATGCCATAAGGGTCCTGTTGCTCTGCAAGGGCCGGAGACTTGGGGAGACGCTTGACGAGTTCGATCCATTGACCTTCTTCCGCCATGCGGATGCCTTCCTTCGCTGACCTCGTTGCCCGCATCGCAAGTCCAAGATGATGGCAGAAGTGGCACCCAGCGAGCGCCGACTACGATTGCGGTGATTGCAGACACATGGCTCAGCTGTCCAGCCAATCACGAAGCCCCACTGACCAGTATTGTGACTTCCAACACGATCCATACTGTAATCAAGTGTAATCTGTCACGCTCGAGAGCCAGCTACAATACACTTGATTGGCTGATATCAACAAATATAGAGACGGGCAAGGGATTATAGCCAATCAATAATGTTCGCTCCCAGCACATGGAATACCATGCATAACGAAACACAGTCGTCAGAGTCTTGAAGAAACACCATCGTCATACAACGCAATACAGTACGAGGTGCAATTAACGTTATGTACAGGTACTGTACTATGCCCACAGTAGCGCATTTCCAAAGATCAAAACGAGGATATGATTGGCGAAGAGTGTACCTTCGTACTAGTAGTATTCGATACTACTCTGTGCTTTACTCCAGAGTATTATATGTAGTAGTGACTACTAGTACGTGTACTTCGTACATTTGAGGAAATTTGGCTCCTCCTGTTATTTTAATAAAGCGATTCGATCATACTACGTCCACTAAAATAGAAATAGTCACACCCACCTTGATCTGATCAGCAGATTTTTTCCGCCAATTAAATGGATGCAGTGTGTCGTGTACAGCTTTTAATTAGTAGATATCCACCAATTATATCGATGCATTTCGACGAAACACCTGGTTTGGCTTTGATTGGCTAAATATATTAGTTTCGTGACTCTCATTGGTCAAACCAAATGTACATTAATTATACTCGAGTATTAACTGTAAAACACTGCCAATCTGAGACAAATGTACATGTATATTAAAGGACAGAGTAGTATCTTGAAATATATGATAAATGAGAGTAAGAGTGAGTTTGAATCATCAAAATAAGAATTGTGAGAGCGTGGTGAGAGTGAACAAGTTCCCAGTTGGTGCGATCAAGCCACCAAATTCTAATCAGGCCACAGCACAACCGCCTGCCAACACGATGATGGGTCGTGAGGATGCTAGCAGTTGCGATCGCCAGCACACCATTCCCGTCGGTCATGGAGCTATGCGCACCCCCAAAGCACCGTTTGCACTCCAACCCAAGCCGTTTGGTTACTCGATCGGTCAAACGTTACCACCAACGTACCGCAACGCAACACACGGCTTCCTGCGGAACTCGTTCTTCATCAAGCGGTTATTGTACACGACAGTCGTCTTGGGTATCATTGATGGATGCGGTATTACCTACATGATGTACATGCAATTCGTCGTCGACAAGCGGTCCGCGATGTTTCGAGCCATGAACGTGGACGAGATGGAGAAGCACGACCCAACCTGCTTGAAGTGGACGTGGTTTTCTCGAACCATGTACTTTTCATTTCCAATGGTGATTTTCCTGGGTCTAGCCGCGAGCGGCTGCCGCGTCTTCGATCTGTTCAAGCGCTCGACCGGCCCCAGCAACAACAACGACGACGACGACGACGACGGCATGCCGCCGACCCGAGGCACCCTGGCACACCAGCAGCAGCGCATCACGACCAAAGTCCAGCGCACGTGGTACTTGCAAGTGTGCGAAATAGTGTGCGTGTGTCTCATCCTGTTCTACGTGGGCGCGTTCGCGTTTGTCTTGATCACGTTCGTCCAGTCCAACTTTACGCTGCAACTGTGCCACGAACGCGTGCCTTTCATCAACTCGTTCGTGTCCATCTTGTCCTGGGTGGGCATCGGGTTCCAGTTCACGTACTTTGCGCGGCTTCGCGACCACTTGAAGATGCAGCTGGGGGCGTTCAAGGAAGGCGAGCTCACGGGCGGCGGTCGAAAGCCGCCGGTCGTCGGGACGCCCTCCAAGGTTGACATCCAAAAGCGCATATTCACCGCCGCCGAGTTGAGCGACGTCGACGGCCTCCGGCACGCGCTTGGGCTCGCACGAACGTACTTGGGCAAGGAGTTTGCCAAGGAACTGTATGGGTCGGCCTCGCTTGGCTGGGTGCTGAACTTTTCCAAGAAGAATCCCGTGCACGCCGCCGCGGCCCACGGCAACCTCACCATGCTGCAGCTGCTCTTGGACGCGGGGTTCTCGATGAACTCGCTGGACAAGATCAACCGCGTCCGAGTCAGCACCGGCGACCTCTTCTGGTACTTGAGCCAGATGCTCGTGCGCCGCGCGGTCGTGTCGGCGGACGAGTCCGCCAAGCACCTCTTTAAGACCACGCTCGTGTCCCCGCTGCACTGCGCGGTGGCGGCGTCCCGCGTCGAAGCGGTCCGGTGGCTGCTGGACCATGGCGCGCTGGTCAACCAGACGGCGCGGTCGTCCAACAGGGAAGAACGTCTGCCACCCATCTTCCTCTGCGAACACCCATCCATCATGGAGATGCTTCTCGCGGCCAACGCAGATCACTTGTGTGTGCCCAATGCCGGGTATATATATATATATATCCTTTCTCTGTCGCATTCCGTTGATGGGAATGTTATGGGGGGAGTAGGGGCTCGCATACGCTAACCGTGTTGGAACTGTCGTACCTCCGCGGCAATTATGCGGTCGGCGTGGTGCTCGAAGACTGGGGCGGCGACGTTGCGCTCACGCCCCTGCACTTGGCTGCTGCCTCGAACGACGTGGTCAAGGTGTCGCCCATCATCTTGATTGGTTGGTTGGGGGTTTTCACTGTGTACGTTGTATATAGGTGCATAAAATGCTTAGCTACTGCGACCCCAACTGCTTGGGGGAATACGGGTACGCTGGCTTCAACCGGCGCACGCCGCTGCACTGGGCCGCCATCGCCGGCAGTGTCGACGTGCTGGCGCCGCTGCTCAACAAGGGCGCGGACCCCCACGCGCAGGACGCGGGTGGCCGCACGCCGCTGCACTGGGCGGCTCGAGCCAACCGCGTCGAGTGCGTGACCATCCTGCTCGAGCACCGGGCCAACGTCCACGCCCGAGATGTGGACGGGATGACGCCAGTGTTGTGCGCGGCGTTGGCGCCGGACCTGCGTCCGGAACTGCTGCAGGCGCTGGTCCTCCACGGCGCCAACATCAACGCGACGGTGGCGACGGGCGACACGGCGCTGCACGTGGCCATGAAGCAGGGGAACCGAGCCGCCGCGCTGGCGCTTCTCGGCGTCGGCGCCGACATCAACGCGGTCAACGGCGACGGCAGCCGCGCGATCGACTGCACCACGTCCACGGAGCTCCAGTTTGCCGTCAAGCGCGCCGCCGGAAGCCGCGACGTCATGATCAGCTACACGCACTCGCACTCGGAGTTCGCGAAAAAGTTGCGCGCGAGTCTAGAGCAGCAGCACATCACCACATGGCTCGATCTGAGTACCGTCAAGACCATTTTTCCCCGTTTAAACGTATGGTTTTGTAGTGGATCCGAGCGGCATTGGCGGCGGGGCTGTGTGGCGCGAAGAGATTGCCCGCGGGATTCTCAATGCTAGCTGTGTCGTGTGCGTTCTCACCGAAGACTACCCTCGGTCTGAGTGGTGCCTCAAGGAGCTAGCGTACGCCAAGCAGGTGGGCACGCCCGTGCTCGCCATCTCCACCGAGCACGTGACTATCACAGAGGAGCTCCAAGTGTACTTGTACACTCGTCAGATTGTACCGTTTGAGTCAGCGATCTCCGCTGTCGACGCGGCCAACCCACGGAACATCACGTACGAGTACAACCAAGACCAGTACCTGACGCAGTTTCGGTCACTGCTGGACGGCGTGCGCGACGAGATTGAAAAGAAGCGGTGCGTGGCCAGACCTACCCTCGACATGCCGACGACAGCGATGGCGACGTGGGGTCCGACGCTGCTGCAGCACAACTACCCCCCCGACCACAACGACGAGTACTGGAAGCAGCCGTTCGTGGTGCTCGCGTCCGGCGACTGCCACCAAGGGTTTGTGCGACAGGTGCACCAGGAACTGTCGGCGGCGTCCTGTCGGGTGTACCTCGACCATCCGCACGGAGCCGACACGCAGAGCCGCATCTCAGCGGCCAAGGAAGCGATCATCCACTGCGCCGTATTTGTGGTCGTGCTGTCTGACAAGAACCAGAACGAACTGCTGCTGGACCAAATCGCGTTCGCAGAGGACAAGGGCAAACCCATCTTGCCGCTGCTGCTGTCCAACCCCCGCGAGTACTTGGGGTTGGGGCTGCAGTACACTCTGTCCCGCATCGACGTGTTTCACTTTGCCCAGAACGTCGGGTTTGCATCGTCCATGATGCATTTGCTCCAGGGACTCGACAAGCACATGCATGTCCCGACGACGCGCCGCGGGTACCTCAGCTCCACGATGGCGCGGATGACCGTTCCAGAGGACGGAGATCGATGGAGCTATGCGAGCGACGAGGCCGGGTCGTCGGGACGGATTCACCGATTGTGATATTGTAAGTTTGTTATTTTATTGATTTGTGTGGTGTCGACTGCTTGGCGTCTTTTAAAAACTGCTGCAATGCATTCAGGCGGTTGTCAATGTCGACAAACGACGGCATCATCCGGCGACGGTCGCTGTCGTCGTCGCTGTCGTCCAGATTCGGCACCGCGACCTTGGACGACATCTTTGGTCGGCCTTGTCGGGGCGACGACGTGCGCCTTGTGTCCTAGTCACACATGTTATAATCATCGTCAGTCGCTACTACAGTATGCTGGGGTTTGGGTAATAATAATACCTACCGCCGCAGTTGTCTTGGTGGTGGTGGCTCGGCGCGGGGATCGGGTGGCTGCTACTACCTAGCATGAAAAGCCACAAGAAAGTCAAGGGGATACTAACAACCCCATATTCGACACGTTACCGCGGGGGGGCGATCCCTTTGTTTTGACACCGAGGTGGACTGCCGAGGGGAACTCAACCGGGCATCCTACTCACAGGTTAGCCGTGAGGACATGAATATGGTACAAGGTGGACTAGGACCGTTTCCCGTTGACTTGAAAATGTGCGGGGGGGCCTCGACCTCCGGGTAGTTGAAGTCGACGCCCCCGAGTGGTACCCGGCGGACGAGTCGGACGAGTACCCGCCGCTGGATCGCGGCGGCGGTTTCCTCGTCGGTCTAACACGGCCCTTCCGTCAACATGGGACTCAATTTGGACGTGGCTTACGTGGGTGGTTTGGGGGACTGCGACCGCGCTCGGAGTTTCTGCTGCCGTTCGTGCTGTGTAGTCGTGTTGAGTATATGGACAGAAAGAAGTATAGATATGATGGTAATTATATGCGGGTACATGGTACGCCGTGGGATCAAATCGCTTGAAATTCAATGTCGAAGATGGCTTTTTGTCAAAGTTGCCTTCGCTGTCGCTGGATGCAGCCGAGCCAGGTCGGCGGGGTTTCTATGGATCACATTACTTCATATACGTTCGTTGCTGAGCTAGTTGGTCGGGTTGTCCTACCTTTGTGTACTTTGACGAGGGACTAGCCACGTCCTTCGGCCGATCTATGGGTACTTTTGACTTGGGTTGAGGATTCGATTTGGTCCTTTGGATGGCCAGCTGACGAAGCAGTTCGCGATTTTTCAGCTGCAATTCCTGCACAGTCGTCGAGGTCGCGTTCAATTCGCGGGTCGCGTCGGTCACTTGCTGCTTCAAGTCGCTCTAGACGTCCCAACTCTAGTCACCAAATCCAAATATAACCATAGCATTACCGTCAGACGGGCTTGTTCGTCGGCGGCGCGGTCGAGGTCCCGTTCAAGCTGTCGAATCCGCTGAATGTACTGGGAGTCGTCTGGGGCGTCTTGCGACCTAAGCAGAGTCAGCTACTCGACTGTCGTTACAACGTCATACCGTCGGGTGTGGTCCTCCAGTTGGTCGCGCAAAGCTTGGATTTCCTTGGCGGATTCTTTTCGCAATTGCTGGTACAGCGTGGACAGCTCCTTGTGTTCCGTCGTGGCCGCCTGGTGACACTTTGTGGGTTTCGATAGAGGGGGCCCTTGGATGCACCTGCAGTTGGCGCTTGAGATGCACCACGGATGAAGACAAGTCGTCTTGGTTGTCTTCGCGGGTGTCTTGAAGTTGCTGGATGCGGAGTCGCAACGAAGCATTCTCGGCCTGCATGCTCGCCAGCGTCTTGTTGGCTGGATCGTCGATGGACGACGTGCGGGTCTCGAGCAGCGTCTGTTACTTGCACGATGTCCATGAGATAGTGATATCGTGGTCATATCAACCTGTTTGAGACGGCGAATGGTTCGTTGAAGCATGGCAGGGGACGGAGTTTCCACAAAGTTTAACGGGAGCGGGTAGTGGACGCGGTCGAACTCGACGGCATAGGTCAAGATCAAGTACCGCTTGTTGTTGAGTGCTGCGACGGGATCGGGAAGTTTGGTCGAAGGGGCAGACTTGCCCAGCTTACGCTTTCGATACAGTTCCTACAACGTAATAAGGGTGATGCATCGTGAATGGTGCAGTCGAGGCCAACCAGGTCGGAATACGTGAGCAGGTCGATGAACACAGATTCGCTCTTGTGCTGCAACGCCGACATGAGCATGTTCACGAACGTGTAAAAACGCTTAAAGTTTCCAGTCTTCTTGGTCAGTTCTTCGATGTCTATGTCATCCATTGTCAGCATGTAATCGGCGGTGAATCGACGTGTACACAAGGACGGGAAGTGCGCTCCCCATCGATCGCTATCGGCACCGCCTTTGACACTCTGTTCCTCCACTTGCACATGGAGCTCATCAGATTCGACCCACACATGTACGTAGTACTCCACTCCATGGAAGCACATCGATCCGGACGCTTCCAAGCCGCGCTCAGAGTCCATCGCCGCCGCTGTTGTTCGTCAATGCTGGGATCTCAATTCAAAAATCACAGTCTGAACCGGTTCAGAGATCGGTTCAAACCGCAATGTTGATTCAAAACCATCGAACAACACGTGTGCATACTGAAACCAAGTGTAAATTATCTGGCGGTTTCTTCGACAAGTCGAAAGGTCGCGGCATTGTGCAAGTCGTCGCAAGAGACAGAGGAGGGCTCGACGATGGCGAGTCCGCGGATGCAATGGATAGGTCAGCGCATCCTCGAGTCGTTCGAACCCGCCTTGGCGCAGAGCGAAGTCACAGACTTCTTGGGGTCTGCCCCTGTCAAGAAGCTCCTGGACGAGTTGCTCACAGGAAAGGACGTGACCAAGGTCTTCATCCACTTCCAAGCAGACGTACGTGCTCGCGTCTTCCATGTCTGGCAACTTATTCACGGGTATGTGTGTAGCCAACGGACAAGGGAGCTGAAGCGACACGGATGCGGCTGTCGGCGTCCGCAGGCAACACATTACCCATCCGATCCAAGTGTTGCTACTTCCTTCGAATTGTCGCCGACGGGAAAGCCGTCGACATGCTCAAGGTAACATGTTCCATGACATAGAGTGTTGTGTCAAGGGGAGAACGTATCTTTGTATGTAGGGAAGCGACAGCACGTTGCTGTTTGGCGAGTTGGCGCCAAACGTGCTCCGAAATCTCGAGTCCACTCTGTCGCAGCTGTTCACACCCTTGTTCAAAGCACGGGACGACTGGGGCAAGGCCGACGCGGACTTGAAGGTCGAATTCATGAACGAGTCGGAAAAGTTCGCCAACGACCTCAAGGAAGCGCTGCACAGCATGGACAGCGGCCTGGAGCTGCGTCGGCCGGACCGCGAGTTTGAGAACGCCGGCACGCGGGGCGCAGCGCTGAGCGAGTCCCCAAACGTGATCGCTCACTACGAAGACGTGCTCAAGGACTGGTGCGACGTCATCTCGACGTACCTCGAGACCAACACGACCGGCGACGGCAAGTCGAACGACGACGAGATCGACGACGATGGCCCGATGGGGGAACTCGAGTACTGGCGGCGGCGGATGCAGCGGCTGACGAGCATCACGGAGCAGCTCAAAACGAACGAGTACAAGGACGTGTTCCTCGTGCTCAGCCGCACGTCCAAGAACGTGAGCGACGACACCAAGCAGCGCATCCAGACCCTGCTGCGGCGGTGGAAGCAGACTGACATCAGCATCACCGAGGCCGCCAACGAAGCCAAAGACAACGTCAAGTACCTGTTCACTCTGGAAAAATTCATCGTGCCGCTGTACTCGGGCACGCCGAGCACGATCATCGACACGCTGCCGGCACTCATGAACTCGATCAAGATGATCCACTCGATCGCGCGGTACTACAACACGTCCGAGCGCATGGCGAGTCTGCTGACCAAGATCACCAACCAAATGATCTCCAACTGCAAGAACTGCATCACGGGCGGCGAAACGTTCGAAGTGATGTGGACCAAGGAGCCCGAGGAGCTCTTGCGCAACTTGGACTCGTGCTTGAAACTGAACGAAGCGTACCAGCAGCAGTACCGCGCCACGAAGGACAAGCTGTTCTCGATGCCCAAAGGCAAGCAGTTCGAGTTCAACGAGATGCAGATCTTCGGCAAATTTGACCTGTTTTGCCGCCGCATGATCAAGCTCATCGACATGTTCACGACGATCCATCAGTTTTCATCCCTCGGCCAACACAAGCTGGAGGGCATGGAGGAGCTGATTACAAAGTTCAACGGCGTGATCCGCGAGTTCCGGCTACGTAACCACGACCTGCTCGACTACCGCAACAACCGGTTCGACCGAGATTACGTCGAGTTCAACGTGCGCATCTCGGACCTCGAGGGGCTGCTGCAAAAGTTCATCAACGACTCCTTCGAGAACATCACGAGCATCGAGCACTCGCTCAACTTATTGCGCAAGTTCCAGACCATCCTCCAGCGCGAGAACCTCAAGTCCGACCTCGACTCCAAGTTCAACGTGATCTTTCAAAACTACGGCCTCGAGCTCGAACATGTGTTGCAACAGTACGAGCGCCACAAGCACAACCCGCCGTACCCGCGCAACTTGCCTCCCGTCGCCGGCAACATCACATGGAGCCGCCACCTGCTCAAGCGCATCGAGGAGCCAATGAAAAAGTTCGAGTCCAACCAAAACGTGCTCGCTAGCAAAGACGCCAAGCGCATCATCCGCATGTATAACAAGGTCGCGCGGACGCTGGTCGCGTTCGAGTATATCTGGTACCAGGCGTGGGTCCAGTACATCGACACGGCCAAAGCGGGGCTGCAGGCCACGCTCATCATTCGGCACCCTGAAGACAACGTGCTGTATGTGAATTTTGACCCGGAAATCCTCCAGTTGCTGCGCGAGTCCAAATGCTTGGACCGGATGGGCATTGAAATCCCCGAGTCGGCCAAGATCGTGCTGCTCCAGGAAGAAAAGTTCAAGAATTACTACAACGAGCTCCAGTTTGCCCTGTCCGAGTACGACCGCATCGTGACCAAGGTGATTCCGGTCACGGCCATGTTACTCCGGCCGCACTTTAACGACATGGAGTTCAAACTGCGCCCGGGCATGATCACGCTGACGTGGACCAGCATGAACATTGAAGCGTACCGAAACCACATCCACACGGGTCTGCAGCGACTCGAAGAGCTCGTGACCAACATCAACGACATCATCGAGAACCGCGTGGAGAAGAACCTGCGAATTGTGAGCAAAACCATGCTCGTGGACCTCCCTATCGACCAGTCGTTCTCCCTGGACGAGTTTGTGACCATGCAAAGCAACAACATCCGACGGGCAGGCGCATTGCTCCAGGGAAAGAACATCGAGATCGAGAACGCCGTGGAGGACTTGCTCAAGATCATCACGCAGTACCCGCTGGACTCACATATTGAAAGCGTGTCTGCGGAAGAAGCGATGAAGCTCAAGAAGCACTACAACCACTTTATGTACCAAGCGCTGCTGCACTGCACCAAGAACTCGCTCAACTCGATCAAGAAGCGCGTGGCGTCGCGAGCGGGGCAGAACGCCCTCATGTTGGAGCGGCCGTTCTTTGAAGTGGACGTCCAACTAAGCATCCCCCGTGTCCAGTTGAATCCGTCGTTGGACGAGATCCAACTCGCCATCAACCGTGCGGCGCAGACTGTGCTGGCGGCGGCCAAGGAGCTATATGACTGGGGCCAGAACGACGTGGTGAAGGAGGACAAGACGACGTTCTTCGAGCGTATCACCAAAGACATTGAGATCGTCCGCGTCGTGCTGCTGCTCACGGGCAGTGTCCAAGGGCTGCGCAATACCGTGACCGAGTACTTGGAATCGTTCAAGCAGTACGAGTGGCTGTGGATGGAGAACAAGGACATGTCGTACGACACGTTTTTGAAAAAGAACCCCGAACTGCAGGACTTTGAGCGCAAACTCAAGTCGTTTGTGATCATCGACGAAGACATCACCGCCGTCGCATGTACGTACCTCTACCTCTCTGGTATATGCGACAACGTGTTGAATGTGGTGTTGAGATAGCGGCACACAACATTGGCGCGTTGAGTTTGAATACACGCAACATCAAACTGCAGCTCAAGCATGAAAACTCGCAGTGGAAGCTCAAGTACAGCGACAACCTGCACAACCAAGCGCGCAAAAAGATGGAGTCGCTGACCGAGTACTTTCGATCGACCATGGGCAAACTGAACCGCAAGGTCGTGGACCTGGACTCGCTCCGGTTCGTCATGAACCTACTCAAGGAAGTTCGGTCCCGCGAGAGCGGCATCAACATGGAGATCAACCCTGTGCTGGACATGTACGAGATGCTCGAGTACTACCTCCCAGAAGGGTTCATGGAGAAGGAAGAGATGGACCAGAAGTCTGTCCTGCGCAGCAACTGGCGAAAGCTGATCCACCACGCCGAAACCAGGACCGATGAACTGAGCAAGACCCAAGCAGGTTTCAAGCGGGGCCTCTTGCGTGACATCAAGGAGTTCATCATCGACGTCAAGCACTTCCGCGAAGATTTCCTGGCCAACGGACCCATGGTCATGGGCATCAGCGCCGCGGAAGCCGTCGAGCGGCTGAATCGGTACAAGGAGGAGTACAAGATCCGCGAACGCAAGCAGGACCTGTACACGTCAGGCGAGGAGCTGTTTGCACTGCCCAAGACGAGCTACCCAGAGCTGGACATGACCAAGAAGGAACTGCAGCTGCAAGACAAGTTGTTTGGGCTGTACGTGGACGTGCTCAGTACGCTGGAGGAGTGGAAGAGCATTCCGTGGGTCCAAGTGGCCAACAACATCCAGAGCATGACGGAAAAGGTCGACGGGTTCTCGAATCGGTGCAAGAAGATGCCGGCCAAGCTGCGCGAGTGGGAGGCGTACACGGTGCTCAAGAAAATGATTGATGACTTTACCGACATCCTGCCGCTGCTGCAGGAACTCAGCAAGGCGTCGATCAAGCCGCGTCATTGGGACGCCGTCATGGACAGGACCAGCACCACGTTCGACGTGAACGCCGCCGACTTTAAACTGCAGGCGCTCATGGACGCCAACATTGTTGCGTTCAAAGTCGAGATTGAAGAAATCACAGACGGCGCCGACAAGCAGCTCAAGATTGAGATTGCACTGGCCGAGATCGAACAACACTGGAGCACGGAGGAGTTTCAGTTTAACGACTGGAAGAACCGCGCCGTGCCCGTGCTCAAGGGGGTCGTGCCCGTGGTCGAAGAGCTCGAGGAGACGCAGATGAACCTGCAGACGATGCTGAGTATGCGCCACGTGCTGCCGTTCAAGGAAGTGGCCCAGCAAAAGCTCGAAACGCTCAGCGACACGTCCGAGACGCTGGAGCGGTGGATCAAGGTGCAAATGCTGTGGTGTTCGCTCGAGTCAGTGTTCACGGGGGGCGATATCGCCAAGCAGATGCCCGTGGAAGCCAAGAAATTTCAAAAGATTGACAAGGACTGGGCCAAGATCATGACCAAGTCGGTGGAAATCAAAAACGTCGTCCAGTGCTGCGCCAGTGAGCTGCTCAAGTCGTGCCTGCCCACCATGTACGCCGAGCTGGAAAAGTGCCAAAAGTCCCTCGAAGGGTACCTCGAGCAAAAGCGAAACAAGTTCCCGCGGTTTTACTTTGTGTCCAACCCGGGCTTGCTCATGATTTTGTCCCAGGGCAGCGACCCCCTGAGCATGAACGAGCACTACGAGAAGGTGTTTGACTCGATCGAAAAGGTGCTCCACGACAAGAAGGACAAGACGCTCATCCACACGATGATCTCGGCCGGCGACGAAGTCCGGTTCTCGTCGATCGTCAAGGCCCAAGGCAACATCGAAGACTGGCTCGCGTCCTTGCTCTTGTCCATGCAACTGACCATGAAGGACATTTGCCGCCATTGCGCGTCCGACGTCGCGGCCATGAGTGCCGACATCAAGCGCATGCGAGAGTTTGTGGATCGGTATGTGGCTCAGTTTGCACTGCTCGGGATTCAGATGATGTGGACCGCGGACGTCCAGGCGGCGCTCGAGCAGTGCCGCACCAAGAAGAACTCGATGAAGGACATGAGTCAAAAGCAGCTGCAAGTGCTGATCGAGCTCTCGTCGTGGTGCCTGCAGGACCTCGGGTCGAAACAAAACCGAGTCAAGATCGAAACCCTCGTGACGATTCACGTCCATCAGCGCGACGTTATGAGCGACTTGGCGTTGCTGCACAAGCAAAAGAAGATCGCCGACGCCAACGACTTTGAATGGCTCAAGCAGGCGCGCATGTACTGGCGCCCCAACAACGCGGATGAATTCACGACCGACGGCGCGTGCGTCGTGAGCATCACGGACGTCGACTTCAACTACCAGTTTGAGTACCTTGGCTCCAAGGAGCGCCTCGTCGTGACGCCGCTCACCGATCGGTGCTACATCACGCTCGCCCAAGCGCTGGGTATGTACTTTGGGGGAGCCCCCGCCGGACCGGCCGGTACGGGCAAGACGGAGACGGTCAAGGACTTGGGGCGGACGCTCGGCATCTACGTCGTGGTGACCAACTGCACGGATCAGCAAAAGTACACGGACTGCGCCAAGATCTTCAAGGGGCTGTGCCAGGGGGGGCTGTGGGGCTGCTTTGACGAGTTCAATCGCATTCAGTTGCCCGTGCTGAGTGTCGTGGCGCAGCAAGTTCTGGCAATTCAGAACGCCAAGAAGACAGCCACCAAGTTTTTTCAGTTCCCCGGCGACCCGCAAAACATCTTGTTGAGCCCTGTGTGCGGGTTCTTCATTACGATGAACCCCGGGTACGCTGGTCGACAGGAATTGCCCGAGAACCTCAAGGCGCTGTTCCGCGGCGTAGCCATGATGGTGCCAGATTTTGAAATCATCATGAAGGTCAAGCTGTGTTCGGTGGGGTACTTGGAGTACCAGGAACTGGCCAAGAAGTTTTTCATCTTGTACTCGACGTGCAAGGAGCAGCTGAGTGCGCAAAAGCACTACGATTGGGGCCTGCGCAACATTTTGGCTGTGCTGCGGTCCGCCGGCAAGATCAAACGCGACAACCGCACGGACTTGGAAGCCAAGCTGCTGTTCCAAACCCTCCGAGACATGAACTTGTCCAAGCTGGTCGCGCAAGACGTGCCTTTGTTTCTGTCGCTGCTGCAGGACTTGTTCCCGACGATCCCGCCGCCGCCAAAGGGCGTGTACCCAGAGCTAGAGGCCACGATTCTCACGGAAATCGACAAGCAGGGGCTGGTCAACCACGCCGGATGGCTCAACAAGGTCATTCAGCTGTACGAAACCCAGCTCGTACGACATGGCATCATGCTGGTGGGGCCCACGGGTGGCGGCAAGTCGCGCATCTTTGAAGTGCTGCAGCAGGCGTTGACGATCACGACTACGATCAACCACAAGCAGTCGCGCCTGAACCCCAAGGCGATTCGCGCCGCGGAAATGTACGGCGAAGTGGACCCGATGTCTGGCGAGTGGACGACGGGGGTGTTTGCCGCCATGTGGTCCAAATACAACCAGAAGAGCAACAAGTTTAACATGTGGATGATCTGCGACGGTCCAGTCGACGCCATTTGGATCGAAGACCTCAACACGGTGCTAGACGACAACAAGATCCTGACGCTGGCCAACGGAGATCGCATGCCCATGACGGACAACGTCAAGCTTATGTTTGAGGTGGAGACCCTCGTGAACGCCTCCCCCGCCACCGTGTCCCGCGCCGGCATTGTGTTTGTGTCTGACACGGATCTGGATTGGGCGCCGGTCGTGGAGGCATGGATTCGGCGGCGACCGACGTCGCACCAGGAGACGCTGCGGCAGCTATTCCTCAAGTACATGGGCGAAAACACGCCCTTGTTATGCGGTATTGCGTTTGACTTTCTCAACCGCAACACCAACGGCGTCATGCCCGTGTCCCGCGTCGGCCAAGCGTCGCGGCTGTACAGCCTCATGACGGGGCTGCTCATGGGCGACCACGGCACTTACCTGTCGGAGGACCCGGCGATTCTCCCCAAGCATTTGGAGAAGTTGTTCTTGTACTGTATCACGTGGAGCGTGGGGGGGCTGCTCGAGCCCGAAGACCGCGTCAAGTTTGACGAGTGGCTGCGCAAGATGGACGACAACGGCCTCATGCCCATATGCGACCCGGGGTACCTGTGCTACGAGTACTACGTGGACGCGTCCACGTACGAGTGGAAGCTGTGGCGCCCCCCCAAGTGGGAGTACCCCAAGGGCGAAAAGCTCGACTTTTCCAACTTGCTCGTTCCGACCATGGACTCGGTGCGCACGTTGTACCTGATTGAAAACCTACACAAGCAGAAGAAGCCCGTGCTCATGGTCGGCGGCCTCGGCACGGCCAAGTCGTCGTGCGCGCTCATGTACTTCAACGGACTCAACCCCGACACAATGATGGTCAAGCGCGTCAACTTTAGTAGCGCCACCACGGCGTTCATGTTTCAAACCGCCGTGGAAAGCGAACTCGACAAGCGCGGGGGTAAGAGCTTTGGCCCCCCCAACGGCAAAAAGATGACGGTGTTCCTCGACGATCTCAGCATGCCGCTCGTGAACGCGTGGGGCGACCAGCCGACACTGGAGATCGTCCGGTTGATCATCGAGTGCAGCGGGTTTTGCTTTCTGAGCAAAGATCGTCGCGGCGACTTCAAAGTGTGCGAAGATTTGCAGTACGTTGGCGCGATGGGCCACCCCGGCGGCGGTCGCAACGACATTCCGAACCGGCTGAAGCGCCAGTTCTTCTTGTTCAACTTGGTGCTGCCGTCGCTGACGTCGATTGATGACATTTACGGTCAAATGCTGGCCGGGAGGTTCACACCAGACACGTACACAAAGGAAGCGATTGCGATGAGCGGCAAGTTGACTCGCGCGACGATTGACTTGTGGAACTTTATGAAGGCCAAGCTGCTTCCGACGCCTGCCAAGTTCCACTACATTTTCAACATGCGCGAACTGTCCCGGGTGTTTCAAGGCGTGCTGCTGACGCCGGCGGAAACGTTCTCCACGGGCGGGGGGTTCCGCGTGAGCCAGGGCAAGATGGACAAGGTGGACCAAGGCCAACTGGTGCTCATGGTATGGAAGCACGAGTGCGAGCGCGTGTTTAGCGACAAGCTGACCAACTACAAGGACAAAGACGTGTACCAAAACTACATGAAGGACCTGCTGAAAGCGCACTTTGGCGACGAACTCGAGCAAAAGGTGCGCGTGCCGTTCTACATGGTCAACTTCCTCCGCGACCCAGCCGAGAACGAAGAGGGCGTCGTCGACGACGTCGTGCCCAAGGTGTACGAACCCGGTGGAACGCTCGAGGAAGTTCGTGACCGAGTGAATGAATTCCTGGGCAAGTACAACACGGACTACCCCCAGCGCATGATGCGGCTGGTGCTCTTCGACGACGCACTTGGACATTTGCTGCGTCTGTCGCGGTTGCTAGAGATGCCCCGCGGGTCCGTCCTCCTCGTGGGGGTCGGCGGGTCCGGGAAGCAGTCGCTCACGCGGCTGGCGGCCTACATGGCGCAGTCCACGGCGTTCCAGATCACGCTCACCAAGACGTACAACACAAACTCGTTCATGGACGATTTGCGTCTGCTGTACAAGAATGCAGGTCACTTGAAAAAGTCGACCACGTTTTTGTTCACCGACTCGGAAATCAAGAACGAGATCTTCTTGGAACTGATCAACTCGGTGCTCATGACGGGCGAAGTCGCGGGGTTGTTTGCCAAGGACGAGATGATGGCCATGACTGCTGACCTCCGGAATTCGTTTGTCAAAGACCGCCCAGGGCTCCCAGACACCCAAGCCAACCTGAAGCAGTACTTTATCGACGGCGTCCGAGACAACCTGCACGTGGTGCTGTGCATGTCGCCCCTGAACGCCAAGTTCGCCGACCGCGCGCGCAAGTTTCCGGGGCTGATTTCTGGCCCGACCATCGATTGGTTCCTCACGTGGCCGGAAGATGCACTGATCGCCGTGTCCAAGGGTTTTGTGCTAGACTACCCCATGGAATGTGACAGCGTCACGCGACTGGCGCTTATGACGCACATGGGGATGGTCCATCGCATTGTCACAGACCTGTGCGACGAATACTTTCAAAAGATGCGACGACGGGTGTACCAAACCCCCAAGTCGTACTTGAGTTTTATTGAGTCGTACAAGAAAATGTACAGCATCAAGATTGAAGAGATCAAGGTCAAGGAACAGCGCGTGAATTTAGGCCTCAAGAAACTCATTCAAGGCGCCGAAGACGTCCGCGCCATGTCGATCGTCCTCGCCGACGAGCAAGTCAAGCTGCAAAAAGCCACAGAAGAGACCAACGCGATGCTCCAGTCGCTCCAGGTGTCGAGTGCGGAAGCGTACAAGGAAGGTGAGCAGGTGTCGCAGATCAAATCGAAATGCGAAGAGGATGCCGTGCGCATCGGCGCCGAGAAGGCTGCGTGTGAGAACGATCTGGCCAAAGCCAAACCGTTCGTTGAGGAAGCCGAGACCGCCATCGACTCTATCAAACCAGCGCACATTGGGGAAATTAAAAAGCTAGCCAAGCCCGCCGACATCATTCGGCTCGTGTTTGACGGCGTCCTGATCTTGTTTCAAAGCCAGCTGACCATCGTCAAGCAAGCCAAATTGAACGTGGCCAAGCAAGACATTGACTTTATCGAGACGTCGTTCTCCCCGTTTGCACAGCAAGTGATGGGCGACTCCAACTTTCTCAAAAACGTGCAAACGTTTGGGTCTATCGGGAAGGACCAGATCAACGAAGAAACCATCGAGCTGTTGTGTCCATATATGGAGCTCGAGGGGTTTCTCCCCGCCGTGGCCAAGAACGCGTCGCTGGCCGCGGAAGGCCTTTGCACGTGGGTACGCGCCATGAAGTTTTACCACGAAGCTTCCAAAGTCGTCAAGCCTAAGCTCGAAGCGCTCATGATCGCCGAGGGCCAGATGGAAGCAGCCAACAAGGCGCTGGCCCAAGCCGAGCTCCGCTTGTCCAAGTGCAAAGAGCGTCTGAATGAACTGCAGCAAATGTTCGAGGCTCAAATGTCCGAGAAGAAACGCATCGAAGACGGCGCGAACGCCCTCGCTCGGAAGATGCAACAAGCGTCCGACTTGATCAACGGCCTCGCGGGCGAGCGCGTGCGGTGGACGGACGACTCGAACAACTTTGCCGACCTGAAGCGGCGCATGGTGGGCGACTGCGCCGTCGCGTGTGCGTTTGTGAGCTACTGCGGACCGTTCAACCAGGACTTTCGCCACTACATGGTCGCAAGCAAGTTCATTCCCGACTGCGAGTTGCGCAGCGTGCCCGTGACGTCGGACCTGGACGTGATCACGTTTCTCGTGGACATTGGCACGATCGGCGACTGGAACATTCAGGGGCTGCCCACGGATTCTCTGTCGATTCAAAACGGGATCATGGTCACGCGGTCGTCGCGGTACCCGCTGCTCGTGGACCCGCAAGGCCAAGCGCTGTCATGGATCAAGAATCGCGAGTCGGCGCGGATGCCGACGTACGGATCGACGACGCTCAACCATCCCAAGCTCAAGGACCAGCTCGAATACTGCATGGGCGAAGGCCGGGCGCTGGTGATCACGGGCGTGGAGGAGGACATTGACCCGATGATGGACCCGGTGCTGGAGCGCCAGATCATTGTCAAGGGGCGGTCGCTGTCCATCAACGTGTCGGACAAGAATATGGAGTTCAACCCGGCGTTCAGCATGTACTTTATCACGCGGCTGCCCAACCCGCATTTCGGTCCAGAATTGCAGGCCAAGACCACCGTGATCGACTTTACGGTGACGATCAAGGGGCTGGAAGAGCAGTTGCTCGGGCGTGTGATTGGGAAGGAGCAAAAGGCACTCGAGGAGCAGCTAGCGCAGGTGCTGGAAGACGTCAATATGAACACAAAGTCGCTATTGGCACTGGACGCGTCCTTGCTGGAACGGCTGACGTCCAACACGGGCAACCTCCTCGAAGACGAAGAGCTCATCGGGGTGCTCGCCAACACGAAAGAAAAGGCGGCGGAAGTCAAGGACAAGCTCATTGCCGCCGCCGACACGCGGAAGAGCATCAACGAGAAGCGCGAGCAGTTCCGACCCGTGGCCACGCGGGGCTCTGTGCTGTACTTTACGGTCGTGGAGATGTCCCTGGTGAATTGCATGTACCAAACGTCCCTGACGCAGTTTTTGGCGCTGTTTATGAAGTCCATGGACGTGGCAGAGAAGGCGGCGCTCGCGTCCAAACGTGTGGCCAACATCATTGAGACCATGACGTACATCAGTTACCGATACATCAACCGTGGGCTGTACGAACGCGACAAGCTCACGTTCATTTTGCTGCTCACGATGAAGATTCTCGTCACAGACAGTTTGCTCACTCGGGAAGAAGTGACACTGCTTATTCGAGGCGGGGCGGCGCTTGATATCAACACTGTGCGGCGGAAGCCGTTCTCGTGGATCTCGAACGAAGCGTGGCTCAACGTGATCGAGCTGAGTCAGTCGTGCAAGTTTTTCACATCGCTGCCGCACGACATGAGCTCGAACGAAGCCATGTGGCGGCGGTGGTACGAAGACAACGAGCCCGAGAACGCCATGATCCCCGACTACGAGAACCGAATCGCCGAAAACGAGCAGATTGGGCCGTACTTGAAGCTGCTGCTCGTGCGGGCGCTGCGCATGGATCGAACAATTTTGTGCACCAAGGAGTTTATTCGCAATACGCAGCAGATGGGGCTCAAGTACGTCGAACCTGTCACGGACACGATCGATTCCATCTTCAACGAGATGAAAGCGGACACACCCGTGATCTTTCTGCTGTCGATCGGGGCCGACCCCACGGAAAGCATCGAGCAACTGGCCCGCAAGAAGAAGAACCCGTCGCCGGCCGTCGTGTCGATGGGCGAAGGCCAGGAACCTGTGGCCCTGAAAGCCATCAACGCCGCTGTGGTCAACGGCACGTGGGTGCTGCTTCAGAACTGCGAACTCGGACTCGAGTTGATGGAACAGATGGAGGAAGTGATCTTCAAGCTGAGCGAAACCATGGACCAAAACTTCCGCCTCTTCCTCACGGCACTACCAAGCGAGCAGTTTCCCCTCGGGCTGCTCCAAATGTCCACAAAGGTGACCAACGAGCCGCCCCAGGGACTCCACGCCGGCTTGTTGCGGTCGTTCACGGTGATGGTGGACCAAGAAAAGCTCGAGCGCGTCGAGACGGTGCAGTGGCGGCAGTTGCTGTTTGACTTGTGTTTTCTGCACTCGGTCGTAATCGAGCGCAAAAAGTTTGGGCCGCTGGGGTGGTGCATTCCGTACGAGTACAACAATGGCGACTTGTCTGCATGCACGATCTTCTTGGAAAAGCACTTGTACAATGGCCCGATTTCGTGGCCGACGTTGCAGTACATGGTGTCAGAGGTGCAATATGGAGGCAAGATCACAGACAACTTGGATCGCCGCATGTTCAACTACTACTGCGAGTGGTGTGTCCAAAGCGAAGCGTGCAACCCATCGTTTAGTTATAACCCCGGCGAGCCCATCCTGCGCATCCCCAACGACTTCAACTACCGTATCCCCGTAGCCGAAACCATCGACGACTACCGCAACTTTTGCCACAGCCTACCGGACGTGGACTCGCCCGAGATCTTTGGCCTGCATCCGAACGCTGACCTCACGTATCGCGTGAAGGAAGTCAACTTGCTGCTGGGGACCCTTGGCGAAACCCAGCCCAAGGGCGGAGGGGGGTCGTCGGGGGTCAGTCGAGAGGACGTTGTATGTGATAAGGCCAAGGAACTGTCGGATCGGCTGCCCGAAGATTACATCGAAGACGACTACAAAGCCAAGATCCAACGCCTGGGGGGACTGACGATTCCGCTCAATATTTTCCTGTACCAAGAGATCCAGCGGTTGCAGCGCGTGATTTCCAAAGTGCGCACGATGCTGTCGCAGCTGCAAATGGCCATTCGAGGCGAAGTCGTGATGACTGAGGAACTGAGCTGGACGCTGAATGCGATCTTCGATGCCAAGGTGCCGCCGTCGTGGCTTCGGACGTCGGTGGGCGACGAGTTCTCGTGGATCCTGCCCACGCTGGGGCTGTGGTTCTCGTCGCTCCTGTCGCGAGATGAGCAGAGCCGCAACTGGCTCAACACCCGCCGACCCAACTGCTTCTGGCTCACGGGCTTCTTCAACCCGCAAGGGATGCTCACAGCCATGAAGCAAGAGGTGACGCGGAAGCACAGCAAGACCGACAAGTGGGCGCTAGACGATGTCGTGTACCACACCGAAGTCACGACGTTCGAGCGCGCCGAGCAGGTCCGCACGCCGCCCGCCGAAGGCATTTTGATCTACGGCCTCTTTCTGGACGGCGCCACGTGGAGCAAGGCGGACGGGACGCTGGTCGAGTCGGAACCCAAGAAACTGTTCACGTCGTTGCCGGTGCTGCATGTGAACAGCATGTCCAAGGACCTGGAGCTCAAGTCCCGGAAGGAATTGTACGGGTCCATTGGTCCATTTGAATGTCCGTGCTACAAGTACCCCATGCGCACAGATCGATACATCATCTTCATGGTGACCATGAAGTGTCCGCAGAATCGACCGCCGCGACACTGGGGTCTGCGAGGCGTGGCATTGCTGTGCAATACAGAGTAGTTTGTATCTAACGTTAATAGGGATATATGTACAATTAGAGAGGTTTAACTTGAAGAGTTGGTGACGACTGGAGTAACTAGTATATAATAGACAACCAGGTTACTTTTTGTTAGCTTTTGAAGGGGCGGCGACTGGCGCTTGGGCCGCGACTACTGTGTTCTGCAGGTGCATTTGAATGGCGGCAAACGGGTTCGCCTGGAACGAAGGGTGTGAGTGCACGGCTTTGAGATGGCCCAGTTCGTGGATAGCCAGGCGTTTCTTTTGCTTCCCGGTGAGCTTGGTGGGGGCTTTCGGCGCAGCATCAGCCGTGGTGGCGGGCACTGTCGTCTCGGAAAACAACGACTTCTGGAGGTCTTCAAAGTCCCCAAAGATGCCGTCGGATTCCTTCTTGGCGTCCTTCTTCTTCTGAAGGATCGTGCGCTCGACCATGCCCATCTTCTTGTTGAACGCATCGCGACGCTTCTGACGCTTGCGCTGTCCCCGACTCAACGCATTGATGGCCTCATCTTCCTTATCCTCTGGTGCTTCTTCCTCTTCGACGTCTTTGGCCTTCTTGATGACTGGCACGGCCGGCTGATGCTGCCGATATGTCTTGGACTTGCGGACTTTACCCATGACGATTGACAAGTTGAAGCGCCACACGAATAACCCAGCCTCGCCCACCAACCAGCGAGCATCCGGATACACTCGCCTAAATTAGGCAAAGCATGCCGAATTTAATCGTATCCGGATACGGCGCACTCGAAGGGCATCTCGGCGAGAAAATGCAACCAGACGATGCTGCTATCAATGCCGATATGGTGTCCCAGATCTTGTCGTACGAATGAAGGATAGAAGGAATCGCTGTCGTTCCTGAGTAAAGTAGCAAGCTCAGAGGGTCCTCGCAACCTTCCGTATACCCCCCGCTTGTGACAGGAATTCTCAATGGTCGAAGGACCAGTTCTAGCGATATGGTCATATCAAAGGGCATGCATAAGCGTTAGATAGCTAGGATTACGGCAACCTAAGCGTTCTTGGACAATTCCTGGCGCAGTTGGTTGCAAAAGTCGTCGTCAGCCTCGTCGACGTCCCAATCGTCTTGCCACTGGAGCTTGATTTGGCTTTCCTTTTCTTCTTGGGCAGCACCCCACGAGTGTTCTTCGAATTCTTCAAACTCGTCATCTTCTTCAACGATGTGGATGACTTGCTTTGCCTCGGCATTCGTGGCGGCAGGAGCAGCAGGGGGAGCGGCGGCGGCAGCGACAGGTGCTTTGCTGCTCATATCGTTCGGTTGGGAGAGATTGCGGTGTTGAGGGATCCAAATGAATTCAATCTAATTGGACATAAATCAATCGATTCAGCCAATCCACTTGACCAACAATGAAATATTTCAGCCAATCATATAACTCAATAGATATCCCACAAGAACTTTTCCTTTTGCACAATCAAAGTGTGCCCTGCTTCAACCAGTTGCGCATTCCGACAACGGACCACCAAGTCTCAAGGCAACATGCTTCGTCGAACGCTGACATCTCAACTCGCCATCCACCGTCGGTCTGGCGCAGCATGCATTAGCACGTCGCGACTGCCCATCCCTCGCAAATTCCTGTCGACGGATCAACTGTCGTCTGACCAATTCCAGCACCTCCTCGACACCGCCATCGACTTCAAGAAGCGAAACATCGAAAACACGGTCCTCCAAGGCGAGACGCTTCTCATGATCTTCCAGAAGCGGTCCACGCGCACGCGATTGAGCTCTGAAATCGGCATGCAGCGGTTGGGCGGCCGCGCGCTGTTCTTGTCGTCGGACGACATTCAGCTCGGTGTGAACGAATCCCTCAAAGATTCGGCGCGAGTCATGAGTCGCTTTGGCTCCATCTTGCTGGCTCGGGTGCACGGCCATGGCGATGTCAAGAAATTGGCCGACGAAAGCTCCATTCCTGTGATCAACGCCCTCTCGGACAAGTTCCATCCGCTCCAAGCGTTGGCGGACTACATGACCATTCAGGTACGTATCTGCCTCGTGAGGTGCTTGGTCTGACGGGTGTGAGTTGTACTAGGAACATTTTGGATCCGGCAAAGGCCTGACGGTGTCGTGGGTCGGCGACGGCAACAACGTCCTGCACGACTACATGCTAGCGGCGCCGCTCGTGGGTACGTTCAATCACTTCAAAATCCTTTTTAAAATACATGACAATATATGGACTATTAGGCGCGAATATTCAAATCGCGACCCCTCGGGGATACGACCCGGATGCAGATGTCGTTGCGAAGACACTCGAATTGGCCAAGGTAACCTCGATTCGTGTATTATTCGATGCACAGCATGGAAACTAGGCGGCGGGAACCACGGTGACGCTGACGAATGACCCTCTGAAAGCGGTGAAAGGAGCGCATGTGGTTGCCACCGATACATGGGTTAGGTACGACCTCCCTACCCTTACATGATCTTGCAAAAGGTACGTGGCTTATGTGGAGGGTAGCATGGGGCAAGAAGACCAAGCCATGAAGCGCGTAGCGGCCTTTGCAGGGTACCAAGTGACCAAAACGATGCTCAAGCACGCGGCGTCCAACCACATCTTCCTGCACTGCCTGCCCCGCCATGCCGAGGAAGTCGACGACGAAGTACGTGGCACTCGGACGAGTGACGGATGGCTCATGCGTTGGCTAGGTGTTTTACTCGGACCGATCGCTGGTGTTTGATGAAGCGGAGAATCGCATGTGGACCGTCATGGCAGTCCTGGCCAACATCGTCAAGTAGCACGTCAACTTCCAAACGACAAATTGCACTTTAGCTTGTAGAACAGGGTAATTATTGTGAACGACACCAGGTAAATATTAAGTCCAGGTAGATATTGTGTACAAAGAGGGGTGTAAATGAATTATTTATCGTAGCAATAGATGAGCCATGGAATATCCAGTACATTCCTACCGCAACGAAACATTAGACGAGCGTCCCGACAATGGATCGATAATTGTATTACCAAGTTGTATTTAGTGAAGCTATCTATCCTAACTTGGGATGGGTATGTACTTGCTGTTGAACAACCCAGCCACATCAGATATATGTTGTAAATGAGAATCATCTATTATGATGTAAGATACAATCATCTATTTATTCTTACATGATGAAAACACTCAAAATATCATCAATTTTTGCACATCCATAACATGGACAAAGCCATCGCGACTGCTATGCAGTGGACAACCCACGTAACTATCACAGCTATATACTCCACTGATATGAGGCTGTGACTTGGTTTCGCGATTGCATTCCAGGACATGGAGCAATTCACCAAACGACCATGCATATGACGCAATGCTGGTAAAATAAGGTTACATTCGTGTCTTTAAAAGGTATCAAGCGACCCCGACGACTAGAACGACGAGGCAGCGGGCGAAGGAGCTGCTATCCTTCGTTCGTCTGTGCCATCATCCTTCTTTTGCTGCTTTCTTGGCAATCTTGTCGGCAAGGGCCTTCGCGTCCGCCTCCCGACGCTGTTGCGGGGTCAGGGTATCGGTGCGACCACCTTTCGGGTTGTTCTTGGCCAAGCGCGCCTGTGCTTTCTACGCATATCATCATGGCGCATGAGACCTTTGGTTCATGGAGGGAGGAGTTGTGGTACCGCGCGGTCTCGGTCACGTTGGTCGCCGCGGGTCATGTTGGTTCGGGACTTGGAAAATGGGGGGGGGAGTTGAGTGATTCGAAAATCTGTTGCGAGTGGGCCGCCTCGTAATTTCCACCAATCAAAGTGGCAAACTCAAATTTAATTTCAATCTGATTGGTGGAAATATGGTTCCATAGATCTATCCATATTACATCCCTACACCAATGAAACATTGCAAAACATACTGAACTAAGGGAATAGAGGTGTTTCTATATTCTTATGATTGGTCATTCAGCAATTCTTATAACCAATCAAACATGCTCTATTTCAAGTTAGCCACGATAAATCCGTTTCAACCTGGACATTGGAAAACGGCCAATCCGTGACTAGTCGATGCTACAGGTGTACGTCAAGTCACATCATCGCCCACACTAAATATACTGCTAGTGCTTATTAACAGTTTAGTCGATCAACGGTAACGTTATACAGTAGTATGTATGTATT